CACACACACAGAGAGAGAGAGGGAGCAATTTCAGAGTTGAGAACGAGACGATGAATAAATCATTGTTGAAATATTTGCTGAAGATGAATAAATCAGATCTAATCTTTGAAATATTTGTTGAAGATGATAAATCAGATCTAATTCCGAACAACCATCTAATCTTCCATCAAACAGTTGCACAGAGTGTGTTTGGTACCTGGTCGTAAGCTTTATCCCCTTCTTCCCAGCTTCCATTTATTCGTCTTGTAACATAGAGATGGAAGCGATTAAATATAATATAATTAAATATATATATATAATATATATATATATATATATATATATATATATATATATTTCAAAAAAAAAATTATATATAAAAAAAAAAACCTCAACCCGTCAACCTGAACCAACCCGTCTGAAAATATTCGATCCGGGTTCTGACCCCAACCCATGCTGAGTACAATTCGGGTTGACCCAACCCAACCCGATTCGGGTTGAAGTTGGGTTGGGGCTGGGCTGGGTTAGGCCAGCCCAACTTGCAGCCCTAATTTTATTAGTGATTAAAAATTAGAGAAGTTTGGCCATTGTAATGATGAAATCTCAAATTAAAATAGTGAATTGCATGTAGAGATGTATATCATGAAAAAAAAAACGTTTACAAGCACGATTTGAGTTCTAAAGAAAACAATTGCCCCAAATATATAGTATGTTATCATCCCATTAGGAAGTTCAGATACTTTGCTATAATCTTTCTAGCACGTGTTGTACATTTTTTAACGCATCACATGTGATTTTTAACATATTCAATTTGCCAAAAAAATTTAAATGTGAAGTGTAACAATTAGGTTAATTAATTTTAGGCCTCAAAACACCCTTTTATCACCAATTTAATTATCTCGGTTAGTTATTTGGTCAAAAATTGTTTTGGGGTAAAAGTAATGAGGGGAGCAAACACTATTCATTAAATAAAATGATAATTATAATTAAGGAAATACATTCAAACTGAACACAAATTGTAGCAACAATCACCACTCAACAGATTTATTTATTGGACAAAAGGAGGATCACACTTTCACAATATATATGGAAATGCATCAACCAAATCCGGCTAGTCTATCTTAATTTGGAATCACTTAATTCTTATCATAGATTTGGGATTAGAGAAAATTTAATTCAAAATTTTAAATAAATTTGCTCCAATCGTAAATTCAAGGCACTGATTCAATACGGCTAAACATAGCATTAATTAGATTGTTTGAACAGAAATTGTATGTGCGACATGACCTTCCCTAGTGTAACGGGTGGGCGCTTGCCCATTTACCCAAAAGCTCGAACTATTGAGTAGTGCTGCATACTTATCCATTTATACACATTTCAACCCCCATCCAAATCCGATGTGGGACAAGTTTCACTTGTAACATTCTCCCCCACCCGAACCCACACAACGCCCTCGCTGCGGTCGGACCACCCTGCCTATCCGGAGGCAGACCCGGACGCCTTTCGGGCCGAGCGCTTGGCGTGACACCGGATTAAGGACTGGGTCTGGTTTTGATATCAACTGTAACGGGTGGGCGCTTGCCCATTTACCCAAAAGCTCGAACTATTGAGTAGTGCTGCATACCCACCCATTTATACACACTTCAACCCCCATCCAAATCCGATGTGGGACAAGTTTCACTTGTAACACCTAGTAACAAGGTTGATAAGTAATTTAAAGTAGTTGAGGAGATGCATATACCATAAACATAAAGTATACATGCATCATCCATAACAAGGCTAGAAAGGTACTTCTTTTGTTTGAATTGCAGGTTTTTGTTATGGCCGGCCGATCCACATGGTGGTTGAGCAGATGCATATACATTAAATGATTGAAAAATACAATTTCAGGTCCTAACAATGGAATGTGAAGAAAGAAAATACTTTTTGGCCAAACAACATAATTATACATATTATGCAGATTTGATAGAAAAGAAAATGGATTGTAAGTTCAAATATGATATATATAACATAAACATAGAATGCGGATTTGATAAAAAAAAAAAAGAAAAAAAGAAAAAAAAGAAAATGGATTGTAAACACACATTTTTTCTTATTTTTTACTTAACTTTATTCAAAAGAAATAATCTGTTACCACGTAAACATAAATAGAAACTACCATATGGATCGGTTGTCAATAAGTTCGTTCTGTGGGTATTTTTCACGCTGTTTTTTTTTTTTTGTTAGGTTAAATCTCCTCATGTTTGGCTTGGTTCCGGCTAGTATGGGTGGATTTGCTGTTTTCTCTTTGGCTAAATCTTTGATCTATGTCGGTTTTGGTTGTCCTCGACTTAATCTAATTTTTTCCACTTAATTTGATCTTGTGCGGGTTTGGGTGGTTTTTCCCTTGTCAGAGGGGCCTTGTGAATGTAGCTTTGGGGCTGTGCCTTGATTATGGCCAAGCCTTTCCTTGGTGGTTTCCATTCTTGAGCTCTGACTTTTGTTCTCAATAAATTTGGAGCCTGTTCTTCATTTTTTTTCTTATTTTGCTTCAAGATTTTTATGCCTTTATCTGGCTTGGCTTTTGCCTTTGTCAGGGACGGAATCAGGATGTAAGATAAGGGGGGCAAAAATGAATTTTGGGGGTAATAGTGCATTTTTTTAGTAATTTTAAAGGGGGCAAATGTAATATTTCTTGAGTATATTATTTTAAATGAACAAATTATAAGGATATAATATTAAAAAAAATAATTTAATAGGGCAATTGCCCCCACTGTCTTCAATGTGGATTTGTCCCTGGTCTCTGTACTGTTATTGATGATTTGGCTTTTGTAACTTTGCAATGATACAAAAACAAAAAAACGGGTTTTTATTATTTTTTCCCATTAGATAAGATGGTCCATATTTTTATTCTTTAGGTGTTCCATATTATGTAACAACAACATTTATGAACACATTTTTTTCACTTCTCAGAACAATTAATACAGAATAAGTAGTCTGCTTTAACTGGTCCAAGTTATAGTCAACTATTACTTATTTGTCCTTGCCTTAACCTTAATAATCAAAATATGCTAACTATGACATAATAAAAGGTTAATGGTACCGAGTAGGAGTTTTCATCCTGATTCGATGTGAGACAAATTTTTTCTTATTATATTCTCTTTCCTCCGAATTCGTAACACTCCTATTGCAAATCGAGTCATTCTGTCTATTCGGGATGTAGACTCGAAAACCCTCCAGATTGCAGGGGCGAAGCTCGTATATGCCTAGGGGGGCACATGCCCCCTTATATTATGCATATGATTTTTTAAAATTATTTTTACATATATATAGACATTTGTATAACATTAGTTAGATTGTTCTGTAAAAAATTGTTATGCACTACTTTAGAAAAAAGTTATGCCATGAATATAAGATGGACAAACATAACTGTCCATTAAATTAAATATTTTGTGCCAAATTATGAAATTATGGTGCACTCATTCTATTATGAAAAATGATATATACCATAAATGTAATGGATGGTTGAAATTCAAGTTTACGAGAGTTATTTTTCAGAAGAAAAAAATAAATAAATAAATAAATGCATAAAAAATTTGTGATTAGGAAAACTTATTGTAAAATTACACTTATTATTAAATAAATACGTCCAATAACTATTGTAGCAACAATCACCACTCAACGGCTATATTTTATTTACCTAATAGAGAATCACACGATACACCACACACACACACAACATATATGACACATTCTCTTTCTCTATCTACATATATGTATAGCATCATTATATATATCTATATATATATATGGAGCCACATCAAGCAATTCCGGCCACGTAACAATGCTAAGTAGAGCAAGAGAATAACACCCAAAAAAAGAACACAAAAAAGGCTCCGATACGTGTGTACTCGCACATACACATTTATTCCTTAAAATATTATAAAAAGACACAACGCAACATTGATGAATGCTACTAAAGGACCAATTGGCCCAGCAGTATTATCTCTTCTCCTAAAGGAGAGATCGGGGATTCAAACTTCACTGAAAGTAAGGTGTGTACACAATTATTTTAACTTTCAAATATATATATATATATATATATGATGTTGCGTAACTACTTGAAGAAAGTAGAAATTCTGGCGCATCCTTTGCCACAAGAACAAGCACATGTCCAGTGGGGCATTCTACAACATAAGCAATCACATTCATGCGGACCTATTAAGGATAGAATTGTTAATTCATTACTAATACGATAAAGCATAGTGTTGTTCTTATCTATTTTGAAGTTATTAAGCAATTGATCATGTATAATTTTTCAATTTTGCTTCCGAGCTTGAACTTAAAATTTGAATTGAAAATTAAAATTAAAATTCTAACTTATTTTGATTACGAAACTTACCGATTACAAATTTTATCTCACATATATGATAACGCTATATGCAACCATTAATAGAAAGAAAAGCATATGAAAAATAAAATTTAATGGAAGAAGTAAGTACTGAACACTGATACAATTTTCATTAAACAAAAAACCTTTATATAGGCAAATACACCAACAGATAAAAGCAAAAATTAAGGAAACAAATAAGCCACTAACAATAACATACTCCCACTACTGCATCAATAGTGGAGCTCCTAAAGACTAGCTTAGCTCCTAAAGACTATCTCTTCTTATTGCTTCACTTCCTAAAGACTAGGACAAAATAAACAAATCATGACTCACATGACAGCACAACAAACTCAATTTTTCCAACATTCCCTCCCTTAAACTGAATGTTATGTCTGAAACATCAGTTTATTGGGCCACCTTCAAAGTAGTCTCCCTAAATTTGAATCATTTGAAGTGCAAACACCAAGCAACTTCCTTAATTTCTGAAACGTAGGAAATTTGAGGGGCTTGGTTAGTATATCAGTAACTTGGTCTTCACTCTTGCAGTAAGTGAGATCAATAATTCCATTATTCGTGAGATCCCTCAAGAAGTGATACTTCACATCTATATGCTTGCTTCGTCCATGGAGAACAGAATTTTTAGAAAGTTTTATGGCTGAACTGCTATCACAATAGTTGTTGCTCCTTGTTGCTTGAAGTGTAGCTCTTCAAGTATTTTCTTCAACCAAATAGCTTGACAAGCACATGAAGTTGCAGCAACGAATTCGGCTTCAGTGGTCGACAAAGTAACAATGGGTTGCTTCTTTGATGACCATGAAACAGCCCCTGAACCCAGCATAAAAGCATACCCTGAAGTGCTCTTTCTATCATCTTGATCTCCTGCATAATCACTGTCAGTAAAGCCTATCAAATCTGATTTTTCTCCCTTTCTGTAAAACAGCCCAAAATCAATAGTTCCTTGCAAATATCGAAAAATCCTCTTTGCAGCTAGAAGATGCATCTCTGATGGGCTCTCCATGTATCTGCTAATGAGACTCACAACATGCATTATATCAGGTCTTGTTGTAACCAAATACATCAAACTCCCGACAATTTTTTTGTAAATGGTGCTGTCAACTTTCCTTCCTTCAAGATCTTTAACTAGCTTCAAACCAAACTCAGTTGGTGTACTCACAGAATTGCAATTCTTCATCTGAAATCTATCTAAAATTGCTTTCATATATTTCTTTTGAGAAATAAAAATTCCAGCAGTAGATTGCACTACTTCTATACCAAGAAAATAATGTATCATTCCAAGATCGGACATATCAAATTCAACCATCATAAACTTCTTAAAATTTTAAAACATGGTATTATCATTTCCAGTAAAGATAAGATCATCAACATATAAGCATACAATGAGCATTTTTCCTCCATCTCCAATCTTTGTAAAAAGTGTATGCTCATATGGACATTTTTGAAATCCCTCCTTAGAAAAATAAGCATCTATACGACTATATCAAGCTCTTGGAGCCTGTTTTAGTCCATATAGTGCCCTTTTTAATTCATAGACCTTATATTCACTTCCAAGTTTCACATAACCAGGAGGTTGATCAATAAATACCTTTTCTTGAAGTTCACCATGTAAGAATGCTAATTTCACGTCTAATTAAAAGATGGGCCACGAGTTTTGAGCTGCCAATGCAATCACCAATCTGATTGTATCATGTCGTACAACTGGAGCAAAAACTTCTTTATAGTCAATGCCGAACTTTTGCTTATAACCTTTAGCTACTAAGCGTGCTTTGTATTTGTCAACTTCGCCGTTCTCCTTAAATTTTGTCTTGAACACCCATTTCACACCAATGGTCTTTTGCCTTTTTGGAAGCTCTGTCAACTCCCAAGTGTTATTCTTTTCAATGGCCACAATTTCAGCATCCATGGCCTTCTGCCACTTTGATTCTTTGATGGCATCTTCAAAAATTACTAGATCACAATCTGAAAATAGAGCAAAATGAGTGAGAGCATCATCATTATGATTAATTCCAGGTACGTTATAATCCTCCATCCATGTTGGCCTTTTTCTATTACGTTCTGGACGTGTGCTTGCTGGTGTATGTAATTGATCTCCAAATTGACCATCATTAGCTACTACTGTTGGAAGGCTTTGAGTAAGTACTGGAATATTTTGAGTGGTTGTTGGTTGCGGCACATTCTTCATAGGTTGTTGCATTTTCTCATTACTGTCAAAATTTGCTGAAATATGTTGTCCAACACCGTTCTCGCTCCATGACCAAGTTTAATCTTCATCAAAAACAACATCGCGACTAATTACAATTTTCTTGGTGCTAGGATTGTAAAGCTTATAAGCTTTTGATTGGTCACTAAGACCAAGAAAAATGCATTTTTCTCCCTTGTCGTCTAGTTTTTTCCTCCTCTCATCTGGAATGTAGGCATAAGCAATACACCCAAAAATTCTGAAATAATCTACCGCCGGTCTTCGTCCGCTCCATGCTTCCTCCGGTGTCATATTTTGAATAGCAAAAGTTGGACTTCTGTTCAATATATGAATGCTCCAATTAACTGCTTCAGGCCAGAAATTTTTTGGAATGCCACTCCTTATCAAAAGGCTTCGCACCATATTCAAAATAGTGCGATTTTTTCTTTCGCAAACTCCATTTTGTTGAGGTGTATACACTGCAGTAAGTTGCCTTTTGATTCCATGGATCTCACAAAAGTTTGAAAAATCATGTGAATTCCAACCTCTTTCTCAACAAGTACTTTATAGTTTTTAAAGACTACAAAAGCTTCAGATTTTTCTTGCAAAAAATAAGCCCATATTTTCCGACTATAATCATCAATGAAGGTAATTATATATCTTTTACCTCCATTAGAAGATGAATTTATTGGCCCGCAAAGGTCGGAATGCACCAGCTCCAAAGCTTTCTTTGCTCTCCATGATTTTCCTTGTGGAAATTGATTACGATGTTGTTTGCTAACAACACATTCTTCATAAACTTGTTGAGGACAGTCAATTTTAGGAAGGCCATTCACCATATTTTTCTGCTGTAGCGTCTTGAGTTCACCAAAGTTTAGATGCCCGTAACGAAAATGCCATAGCCATGCTGAATCCTTCAATTTTGCTGAGAAGCATGAATGAGTGGTGTTGTGGAGATAAAGCGGAAACATTTGATTTATCGTCATATTGACTTGAGCAATTAAGCCCACTTTTGCATCTTGAATTCGACATACTCCATCTTTGATAGAAATCTCATATCCCTTTTCTTGCAGCTGTCCCACACTAAGCAGATTGGTCTTTAAATCTGGCACAAAAAGAACATTAGAGATAGTATGAATGGAATTTCCCTTAGTTTGGATAGCTACCTTTCCTTTTCCCATAACAGAGACTTTCGAATTGTCTCCAAACTTCACATCATCACGGAAGAATTCATCCAAATCAGAGAATGTAGACTTGTCTCCACACATATGATTACTGCAGCCAGTATCTAAGTACCATAAATTCTTGTTGATTTCCTCCTTTGCATGACAAACCATCAACAAGGATACTTCTTCTTCCTTCTCTGCAAAGTTAGACTTTTCACCATGTTCTATATTTAAATTTGTTCGACGTTCAGTTTTATAATGGCCATACCGATGACATCTATAGCATTCAACAGTGGACTTGTCTGCTGACATTGGTCTGAAATTGGTTGAATGGTGACTACCTCGTCCTTGGCGGTTGCCTCGTCCTTGGTTGCTACCTCGTCATCTTCCTCTCCATTGAGAACCATGAAATTGGTTATCTTCAGACTTTTGATGTTGGAATTGTTGTTGGCTTCTTTGATCCTTGTTTCCTCCGCCTCCTCCTCTTCCTCAGCTTGCTGAATTCGGAGCTGAAAATTTATTACTAGTTGTGACCTGCAATGCCTGCTCTTCCTTTTCTTGCTGTTTAAATTTTTATTCATGAACCAACAACGAACCTTGCAGCTCATCAATTGAAAGATCATCCAGATCCTTTGATTCTTCAATTGAACAAACCACATAATTAAATTTCGGCATCAATGATCGAAGAATTTTTTCAATTACAGTCACGTCCTCCATCTTGTCGCCATGGATACGCATCTTGTTGACGATTGCCATCATTCGAGAAAAATAGTCTATGACCGACTCTCCCGATTTCATCCGAAACATTTCGAACTTCGTATGAAGTGCTTGAAGTTGCTGCCTCTTCGCCCTTACTGATCCCAGGTACTTCTTCTTCATGGAATCCCAAATTTGCTTGGAAGTTTCTTTGCAAAGAATTGTTTCCAAGATTGACTGATCAATAGCTTGAAACAAATAGTTCTTGGCCTTGAGATCCTTCAACCGCTGCCCTTCTATCTCCGTGTTCTACGCTTCCGTCATTGCCGTGACTGCTGCTGGTTGTGTTATTCCATCTGAAACGACTTGCCAATACTCCTTAGATCTTAAGAAGTTCTCCATTAGCATGCTCCAATGGTCATAGTGACCAGCAAAGCGTGGAATTGCAAGTTGCACAAAATTATTTTCAGAGGCCATTGTTGCTGCTACAAAAAAAACAGATGAAATAGAAATAAAGCTGCTGCTATATCACTCTCTATCTCACGTACTGTATTTTTTTTTTGTTTGGCAACTCTCAAGTCTCAACTTTTCTTTTCTCAATTTCTCTCTCTAGCTCTGATACCACTAATAGAAAGAAAAGCATATGAAAAATAAAATTTAATGGAAGAAGTAAGTACTGAACACTGATACAATTTTCATTAAACAAAAAACCTTTATATAGGCAAATACACCAACAGATAAAAGCAAAAATTAAGGAAACAAATAAGCCACTAACAATAACATACTCCCACTACTGCATCAATAGTGGAGCTCCTAAAGACTAGCTCTTCTTATTGCTTCACTTCCTAAAGACTAGCTCTTCTTATTGCTTCACTTCCTAAAGACTAGGACAAAATAAACAAATCATGACTCACATGACAGCACAACAAACTCAGTTTTTCCAACAACCATGCACGCGGAAACAGTAAGAAGAATCAACTAACTTTTTCTTAGAATTTTTCAATTGTCAAGAGTGGGGTACATGTATAGATGAGTTGGGGGCAGCTTTGTGAGGATACAAATGCCACCGACATTTTCCTTTAACAAATATGATAAAGTTGTATTTTATGTTTTTTGTTAGTTGTTAGTGTTTTATATTTATTACCTTTTGTAACACGTAAATTTTTTTATCTGGTGTTAGCTCAAATGGTATAAACTATTTTCTTCAAATAAGATCAAGTATTCAAATTTCCATAGAAGCATAATACATGCTTTGTTGGTCACAAAATAAGTATTTACTTTTTAAATTTTAAATTTTTGAAAGAATAATTTTTATTTATTTACAGTAAAAGGTTCACGTTATTTTAATAATACGTCACAAAGAATGATTATTTTTGAACGGAGAAAACTACATATTGATAAAGCTAAGAGCCTTAAATAACAAATCGATAAGTTTTTAAAGTTAATTTTTTATTTTGATTCAATTAAGCAAAATAATTACAAATACATCAATATTTATTGCTCAGGTCTAAAATATCTTCACACTCTTATTTCAAAATACCAAAATATCCTCCAATATAATAAAATAGATAATTAAAAATTAGTTTGACTAGTGAATAATAATTATTTATCACTTATATACCTGGCAGGTTTTCTAGGTCCTCCCCTCCCTCTCTTCACACACATATATAAATATAAATATGTAATCATTTTTGTTTACAAGTTTCAGATATAGGCTTTAGAAGTATGTTATAGCTTATGAAAATAGGGTTCTTGCATAAGGTTATCAATTTGGCATCTCAAAATTTGTTATGATTTTTTATAATTGATTGAAAAAGGAAATAAACAATAACTAGAGACCTCTGGACAACAAAAAAGAAAGGCACATATAGATGTTTCAATACTTCATATGACCTTAATTACCAGGGGAAAAAAAAAAAAAGATACTTCATCACCCTACTGTCCAACTGAGAGATCCTTGATAAATCTCATTATAGTTTTTACATCTTCTAATATATTAAGAATAATAATACCTTCATTTAGGTAACAATTAAAAAATCTTCTATATGATATATCACCACTCACCATTGCCATAGTAAGCTTGTGGAGCTTTTCTTTTCAATTCTTACCTTTCAAATCAAATGACATCAATCCCAAAAGGTAATCCAATGCCATAGACGACGAAGAGAAGAGATGGAGAATTTGTATTTGCTAATTAAACTAATTCTTAATTTTTTATTTTAATATTTAAAACTAGATAATTTTAAGAAAGATATTTTTGTA